TTATTAACAACTCCTTAATTCATAACTGAATAGTGAATTGAATAATTAATGTAAAAACTTTATTATTACTCCGTGTTTTCTCTTGAGGAAAATAATGAAATCTTAGGTTACGTTTTATGGGACATTGTCATTTACATTTATGATGATTTTAAAAAGAAAAAAAAAAGAAAATGGTTATTTCCAATTTCCACGTAAGACTTTTTTCGTGAAACTGGCTCGTCTATTTCTCAATTTAAATAAGTAAACTTATTCAATTAATTTAACCACCACGTTAAAATTGTTGACTTTATTAATTTTACACTTAACGTTTGAATTTTTATTGCACTGTTTTGTTTTGTAACCTAAAATAAAAGAAAAATGTACAAACAAGGAGACGACTCAAGAAGAAGTCTTCATGCGTTACATAATTTATCACTTTTCTTAGAAAAGTGATTATGAATTAGAAAGTCATTTTAAATCAAAATCACTTAAAAAGAAAAATGGTAAAATTATTTCGATGTCTGGTATGTTCTTGGTTGGAGGAGGTTAAAGTGATTCGTCTTTTTTTTTTAAGAACACAAAATTTACTCCAAAGTTATCTTTTTTTTCTTCCTCATTTCTTACAAATAAAAACGCAACTTATCAAAACAATTTCTGCAAAATTATAAATCTGTTCTAACTTCAAAAGTTCTATAAAATTTACAACACTATTGTTGAATTTTTAGTTTACTCTTAAAAAAAAAAATTGTAGAAAACAAAAGTGAAAAATAAAAATATTGTAAGAATTTAATATTTGTTCTGAAAACATCAAAATTAATGCTGCCATTCTCTTTCTTTAGTGAGGGTGCTTACATTTTTTTTTTTTTTTTAGTCTTCTGTCACAGGAATTTTCAACAAGAATTATAGAAAATGCTTAAAGACTGAAGATAAGGCTGTGTTTGGGGAAGAACTTTTTCACTATATTTCTCAACCAAACTTTCATAGGGTTTTTATTTATTTATTTATTTTTAAGTATAATTAATAAAGGCAATGAACTTGTAACATTTTTGGGAAAAAATCAAGGGTCTTATGAATGTGGTGGAATAATGGATAGTGGTTCAGATTGAGGAATCAGAGACGAGTTCAAATTCCATTTGAATCCATTAAATTTACTTACATGCTAATATATCCTTGGGAAATGATCACCTAAGCATGTATCATACATGGCACATAACTGACTGACTGACATGAGTAATAATCTTTCATATAAACTTCCACTAATTTTTATAAAATTAAAAATGTAATTTTCTTTTTATGTAAAGGTGTATAAGTTTATTTTCAGTGGATCGATATTTGCACATAAGTAATTAGGATTTTCACAAATTGACCTTATAACAGAATTTGACTGGAAATAGGGTAAGAATTGTGTGTGGTTATTTTCAAGACACTGAAACAAGAAATGTAACTATTAAATTAATTTGCTTTAAATGATCAGAATGCTGTCCGAAAGATCTATACCAATATTTCATTGATTCATAAAGGTGTTTATGTGAAATGATATAAGGAACTCCTTGGAATATTAGGAAAGCTTGCAAAGATATTTGAATAGTTTTGTTTCCTCTACTGATAGAGAATGACTTAAAAACAAAAAAATATGGCTGACAAGGTTACATTTTTTTCACTGGGTTTATTTAACCTGTACAGCAAGTAAGAGGGTAAGAAAACCTACCATGATTTATTATTGACAGATATATGCTGTATGGATGAATATGTTGATGGCAAATTAAGAAAGAAAACTGAGAGAATTATTAAACAAGGCAGCTGTGGATAGCATAAAGGAGTAACCATTATAAGATAAAATATATGGTTGTCAGCAAAAGAGACTGGATTAAATTGTCAGTGAATTTTGTGACAAAATAATTGTGTGTTCAATCCCTGCGTTGGGCAGTGTATACTTGGACTCAGTGGAAACAAAGCAAGCAATAACTGAGCAGTACTAAAAATAAGAACTAAAGGAAATATCCCGGGACATGGGCAGGGGAATAAGAACAGTCTACCTCCTCTAGATTAAATAATGGGTGCAGTTTGTAGGTTACCTGGATCAATACACACCTGATGAAGGCTGGAGGGTGCAGTGACTATAACGTTCTGATAACAACAATCCAAATGTAAATAAATTGCTTTTGTTCATATTCAACAACCCTTTTTTTTTTTTTTTGTCTCTATCCTCTATATTATATCCTTGAGAAGATTATGATCAAGATAATTGGTGATGGCACAGGGTAAGTTGGATTCATGCTTTCTCCAGAGGGACTAGTGCTAAAGTGTTAGTGATCTCTTTAATTCTGAGACAATAGCTGTTGTACTACTAACAAACAATTTAAAGAGACAGATAACCTTTTTTGTTTTGTACTTTTTTTTTTAATCCTTACTTTCTCATTGTTTGAAACTTGATCAATGATATGAAACAAAAGCCTGTGAGAAAAACTGAATTGATCTTTTGGGAAGAAATTTCCTTTTTGCAAAATTATTATCGTAAAAAAAAAAAAAAAACCCAACATGGTTATCTAATTGTGTATAATTTAGTTGTCAACCATTTCTGCTTATGACCTTAGTTGCTTTTCAGTAATACTGTCAAGTATCTAGGCATCTCCTGTGGAATGATGGTTAGAAAGCAGTCATTTGATTCAAAAGTACGTTTGATCTCATTGAGTTTCTCATTGCTATGGTCTTTTTCCAAACTAGATGAAATGTATATATCGGATCTGGAAAGTAACCAGCCATTTATTAACAGAAAATAACCTGTAATATTCACATAATCCACAAGCTCACTTAGTGGCATCTCATTAGTAATTAAGTCATTTCTACAGAACCTTCAAATTTTCATTTTTAAAGTTCTTAAACAGCAGCTTTTCATTTTTTTTATAGTGTTTTTTGTAGCTATAATTCTGTGTATATGAATGTAGATAGATATTTCTTAAATCTAGCTTAGTTTAGTCAAAAGATGGTTGGAAAGATGCTGTTTCTGCTGGAACAGGCTGCCAGTTTTGAAAGAATATCATTAAAAGTCCTAACATGTTAACTAGACTTGAACACTTCCCAACTATCTTAACCACAGAGTAGGTTAAACATACAAAGGTACAGGTTACTTTTTCCCAGTAATCACTCTTCTCCACGTTCCAATGTTGACAGCCATTTTCTTTATTGTTGATCCTTGTTCAAAATATTATTTACTAGCTTAAAAACTGCAATATTGGGCAGCATCTGAGCTAGTTCATGTGGAAGGCTCTTGATTGGGCCTTCATCACAATAGGTAGGGAGGAGTAGATGCAATAAGCAACAATAAACTACAGAAGAGCTTAAAATTATAGGTCCTTACTTTCTGTACAAACAATTATTTTTATTTCATGGGTGACTTTTGCTAGATTTTGCAATTAATTTTCAATTATCTCTAAATTTATTTTGAAGTTATGAAAATTGTTATTATACAAAAAAAATTGTCACAAAAAGTAACATAAAAAAATTGCTGAAAACAATCGCAGTAATGAAAACTTGAGAATCTAAAATTTCAGTATTGTGGGTCTAGATCTGGCCTGGAATCTTTTTAATTTACTCACAGTCAGCCTGATTCCAAAATGGTATGATATGTTGGGCTATGGCCTCTAGCAGTAAAGTTGAAAAAGTAACATTTGCATTTATTATATAGATTGGATAACACACCGATTATATATTTCTATTTAATTCTACAGTTCACCCAATAAAAAGTTTGGGAGCAACTCAAGGTAGAGCATTACTGTAAAAATCGTTATGATAAATGCGGTGTAATCTGGGTGAAAGTGCTAGGAAATGAAGATTATGAGGATAAGGAAGATAGATAGTAATTGTCCTTTGATTTCAGGTCGTTAAGCTTCTAGTACTCGGGGAAGTATCCATATGTGAATTTGTTCCCTAAAGTAGCAGTTCTTGGAGACTGGGGGAGCTATCTGAGTAGTACTTTTCCCCTGATTTATACTGATATATCCTGACTAATGTCTTCATGTTATAGTCACAATATTTTTACTGTTGTACCCTTCAGTCTTCTTCAGGGGTCTGTCATAGATAACCATATTGGCTAAGTGGATACATTTATCCAGTTCGCAAGAGTTCAATATCTGAGCTGGTTAATGCAAAAAGATAATCTCTTTCAGTGGTGGACTTAAACAGCATTAGAAATTAACTAGGAAAGAAATGCCTAATTGTTTTGTTTGTGTATTTATTTATGAAGCTGATCTTTATTTGACACAAGGCTACATTAGGAGTGGAGCACATTGTGACGATCAAGCCCATTACACTGGTGAGGTCTTTTTAAGATAAGCTACTGCATTACAGCAGGTGACCTTGCTTGTTTTGTATAAGTTTATTCATGTCTTTCTTCTTGTTAATATATTTTTCCTTCTCTATCTGAGGCACTGCTTTCTGGCATTATTATTTTGTGGGTTAGGAACAGAGGCTTTAATATTGCTCTTTTGAATATATTGAAATATTTGCAAAATAAACTTTGACTTTTGCTTATTAAATATTGATTATTTATAAGCATGTTTTTCCTTTTCAATTTTCTGTTTCTTTTACCATTTACTAAATCAAAACACTTCAGAGTCGGATTACATTTCAATCAAGTGAACTTTATATTATAATCTGGAATTAATGGTGAAATTGTTTTTTTTCTTTAATTCCGTCTTGGTTAAGAGCTTTATATATAATGCCATGTTTTCAAAAAAGACATTCAAAGCCATATTGTAAGGATATTGGTGGATTCATTTTTACAGATTGTCAACCCATTGCAGGTTATTTAAAGCCAGAAAATGTTTTTTAGATTGTAAGAATTTTTTAGGTATTAATGGTTTGGTGATACAAGTCCTACTAATCAAACCATAGCTGGTGGGGAGGAAGTGGAGTCGTACCTTTACCAAGGGGATTTGCACATAAGTGAATATAATGAACCCAATGGGAATTGGAGCTCAGCTCTCTGATTAACAATTCCAAGCACCACCTACACCTCCAAGCTTACAGAACCTGGTATTCCCAAGCAGTCACCTATTTAGGTACTGACCATGCTCAATGTTGCTTAACTTTGGTGGTCATGTGGAAACTGGTTTCTTCAACATTTTATGGCCATAAGCCCAAGGAATGCTGGGATAAGTATATGAGATCCCATGATGAGCACTTTGGAAAGGATTGCATGGGAACCGGTATTTCAATGTGATATGACCATAACCTTGTATAGTAAAGAGTCCTTCTTTAAAATATTAGACTTATATATTTGAATTAACACTTGTGGTTTTATATATTTTATAAAATTTTCTTGATACTTTCTTACTCTTCATTCTTCAAATTATGATAATCCCAAACAAGTTTAGATTCCTATACCACAGAAAGTGGTTGCGTCACATAGCAATACCTATATCATTCAACTACAGAAAGCTGTCATAACCAAATAAATCTTATCATTTAATAGTAAACATTGTCATATTTAAGTTTTTTACTATTTAGATCAATTCGATCTGCTGTCTTTCTTTGTGTTGTCTAAACAGCCTGTTAAAGCTTTTCTCAATATTTTCATTATTGAACAATTTGAAATAACCTCCCCAAACTGGGGAATGATTTGACTGTGTGAGTTGCTTATGTTATAACAACATCACTAATGTTGATTATGATGATGATTGTAAGCACTTCCGGTCACACTAGGGAAAACTAGGATCAAGATTGATCCAACAAGGAGTTTGAATAATAAAGTTTTTAAGTTTACCACATCTTGTGTAATCTTTGTGTTGCTTCAAATTTTTAGTGATCAGTCTCTTAAAACTTACCTTTCCACCCTAAGGCCAGTGGAACAGCTTACAAACTGTTCCATCATGCCAAAAACGATAAATAAGACGTCTTTTAACAATCAAAGCCGGAAGCTCCGCCACCACCGCATAGGATAGTGTTGTAAAAGACTCGCTAAAACTCCAATTTTTATACTGTTGTAAAATTGGTTTTTACTGAGTGCCACACAATTCTGGCTTTGTGCCAGACTAAGCTAAATAAATATATCTAAGTATTAAAATTAGCATAAACATGTACATGTGTTGATAATTTTATTGCAGTGAAAAGATATACTTAGGTCCGTGGCATTTATAACTTATCACAGCTGCTGTATATTTAGCAAATGCAGAAGATTTTGTGTTGATGTCAAACATTCAGCATTAGAAAATGGATTCCTTTTTTAAAAAAATTTCTTTTCTTTTTTTTCTTTTTTTTTTTTGCAACAGATGAGCAAGTTTCGTTTGCAGTTATAAAAATTCTTGTATTTGGGTCACTTCCCAAGATTTGACCAAATGACCCAGCAACAGATATATATATATATATATATACACACACACATTTTAAGACATTTCATAGAAAATATGTGTCCTCCGGATGCATATTGCCGGTAAATGTTGTTAATACTGTTTATTAAAAACAGACCATTTACTTAAATATTTGTATCTATATATATGTATATAAAAAAAAAAATTTATATATATGTTGCACCGGCCTCTAACACAAGGGAATTACATCGGTTCTCACTATATATAATGCTAGTAATACCTACCTGGTGTAAGCAGCGACAATACTACAACTGCCTAGCTGAGTAGTACCCGTTTCCTACCTTTGTATCTGTGATGTTAAATACACTTGTTCTTTAAACCAACTTCGACTTGATTTTCTTATTTTTACTATTGTGCCACGACACAACAGATTGGTGACGTCGGAATCGAAACGATATCACCGCAGACAATCACCTAAAGTGATTGAAATACAAGGATTCGCAAGATTTTTATGGCAAAACACCTTCGTCATTTCGAACAGATATGTGGATACGCAAGGATTAATAGCAAATTAATTACTACAATAGTAATTTGGCGACGTAAAAAAAAATTATTAGAAACAACCAAAAATTTGCTACCAAAAGTCTACAGCGTGAGAACGCGAATAATATTGTCAATTATAGTTGAAAATACTGACACAAAGGATTGCAAAAAAAAGAGGTTTTTTTTTTTTTTTTTTTTTTTCTTTACAAGAAACCAGAGTTTTTTTTTGTCACGGTAAGATTTTTTTTTTTTCTCCTCTTCAAAGTTTGTCGAGTGAAAAATATATATTCACGTAAGTCATTTGTGCTTAAGAAAGTCTGTTAAAAATTCGAGTCATATTTGTGCAAAACCACAAAGAGGTTGGAAAAGATTTTTGTGACTTTCCCATTAGTCGACACTCCTTAAAGTGACAGATTTTTTTTGTTTTTTACGAGAAATACATATTTTTTGTTTGTGTATTAGTTGAGCAAACTAATTTTAGTAAGCAAGCCTTGGGAAAACTGATTTGTTTAATACAAGTGTAAACTGTATGGTGCATAAATTGAATTCGTACCATGGACGCAGAATTAAGAGAATCTCTTCTTCAATTGTTCAAATTTCAAACGGAACAAAGTCTCGCGTTGCAAAAGCAACAACTTCAACGACAACTTGAAAGTGAGGAGAAATTTAAAAAAGAGTTGTTGGAACAACAGAAACGCGTCGAACAAATCTTTATGAAAACACAGGAGGAACAGAGGAAACTTCTGGAGGCAACACAGTTAACGAATGCAAGCGAGAATCATAACGCATTGTCCCAGACGGCTGTGTGGAACGCTATTGAAAGTTTCAATTATAATCCAGAAGACAATGTCACGTTTGCTCATTTCTATAGAAGATATGAGGATATTTTTTGTATCGGATTGCGTACATGGACAGATGCTAAAAAAGTTAGGTTTCTGCTAAGAAAATTGGGAACTGCCGAGCATACAAAGTTCGTGAATTTTATCCTTCCAAAAAGACCAGCGAGTTGAACTTTCAAGAGACAGTTACTCTACTAACAGAACTGTTTTCTACAAAAACTTCTCTTTTTCAGGAGATATAAGTGTATGAATGTCACTAGAAGAGAGGAAGATGATTACACTACTTATGCAAGTATTGTAAAACAAGCATTGCGACGACTTTAAACTGGAGGAATTATCATCAGATAATTTTAAATGTTTAATATTTGTGCAAGGGCTGGTTTTAGGTAAAGACGCTGAGATCAGGCGTCATGTTTTAAATAAACTCGAAAATGAGCCGAACAAAGCTTAGCGGAAGACTGTGAACGGTTTGTTGCGTTGAAACAGGACAGTCGTGATATAGAGGAAAGCGGAGTGTCGCACATTAAAAAGGTCCATCAGAAGAAAAATTTAACTTCAAAAAATAACCAGAGGAAAAAACAGGGAAAAGATCCACCTGGACCATGTTGGAGGTGTGGAGATAAACATTGGTACAATGAGTGTCCCTACAAATTCAAACAATGTGACAACTGCTACCAGAAGGGGCATAAGGCATCACATTGTAGGAAAAAATCTGGTAGAAAGAAGACATCCATTAAACTAACGAAAATTGAACCTGAGGAACGAAATATCCAGAAATTTGTACAGGTCAAAATGTTTAAAAAGTAAGACTACAGCTTGATAGTGGGTCTGATATTTCCATCATTAATATACAGACATGGAAGAAGCTTGGGAGACCCACTATGATTAAATCACATAAAACGGCGAGAAGCGTCAGTGGCGAAAAAATCACCTTCGAAGGAGAATTATTGACGAATATTTCTTTTCAGAATAAGACCGAAAAAGCGAAAATTTTTGTCATGCGAAAATCAAATGACCTCTTTGGAACGGATCTGTTTGAAAAATTTAGACTATGGGATTTGCCTTTTAAGCTCTTTTTGTCAAAAAGTTGAGGATTCGAATGTGGAGGCAGAAAAACTTAAGAGGGAGTTAAAAGAGAAATTTCCAGACATATTTACAGGTGGTCTTGGAAGGTGTACAAAAGCGGTAGCAAAATTTGAAGTCAAAGAAAATGAACAGCCAGTGTTCAAAAAGAAAAGAAAAGTTCCATACGCTGCTATAGAACAAATAGACGGTGAATTAGAAAGACTCGAAAACATGGGTGTCCTCGAAAAAATTGATCACAGTGAGTGGGCTACGCCAACAGTTTACATTAAAAAGAAGAGCAAGAAGATTAGGGTTTGTGCCGATTTCTCAACAGGTTTAAACAATGCATTAAAGGATCACCATTATCCCCTTCCGAGCCCTGAAGAAATATTTGCGAAACTGAGTGGAGGGAAATGTTTTTCTAAAATCGACCTCAGTGATGTGTATTTACAAATCCCAGTCAATCAGGAGTGTTCAAAGCTGCTATGCATCAATACCCAGAAGGGATTATACAAGTTTAACAGACTTCCTTTTGGGGTCAAAGTCGCCTCTGCGATTTTTCAGCAAACAATGGACATGATGTTAAGTGGGCTGGACTTCACAGTAGGGTACCTGGACGATGTGTTAATGAACAGCGCTAGCAAAGAACAACACAAAGCTCATGTAAACCAAGTATTCAAAAGGATCCAGGATTATGGATTTAAACTGAAACAGGAAAAATGTACCTTTTTCATGGAAAAATAAAATACTTGGGGCAAATTATCGATGAATATGGAAGATGGCGGATCCAGATAGATCGAAAGTGCAATAAGGGACATGCCTGCTCCAGAAAATATTGCGTCTCTACAAAGTTTCTTAGGGTTGGCGAATTATTACAATGTATTCGTGCTAAATATGCATAAACTAAGATCACCCTTAAATGAATTGTTAAGGAAGGACCAAAAATGGGTCTGGATGCAAGAGTGCGAAGAAGCATTTCAGGAAATTAAAGATATATTAACGTCTGACTTGTTTCTGGCACATTATAATCCCAAGTGTGATATTATAGTTGCAAGCGATGCCAGTGCCTATGGCATAGGAGCATGCATACTACACAAAATGGATGATGGAAAAATAAAACCCATAGCCCATGCATCCCGTTCACTTTTACTAGCGAAAAGAACTACTCGCAAATTGAGAAAGAGGCGCTAAGCATTATATTCGCAGTAAAGAAATTTCATCGTTTCTTACACAGACAATTTTTGTTACAAACAGATCACAAACCTTTACTAACGATTTTTGGATCGAAAAAGGGACTACCACAGCATACGGCGAAAGATGGGGTACCATTCTTCTGAATTATAATTTTCAAATGGAGTATGTACCATCTAAAAAACTTGGT